ATATTTCATACTGATCTTTTGTATGTCTTGATCTCCTCAACTTAACTATTATACCCTTAAGGGTAAAGGGCTATATTTCAGTTGCCCAGTATCCTATATAGAATCAGTCTAGCATTTCAGAACTCTGTCAATTAAGACAAAACATTTAAAATTAGACACATTAAATCCATCAAAAGATTATAATTTCAGCTTTGCCTTATCTTGATTTCTCATTGATCCTTATGTCCATTTAAAAAAATCATTATAATTTAACTTTGCTTTATCTTGATTTCTGATTGCTATTTAATCATTAATGACTTGGAACACTTAGCTTTCAGTTTTTCCCTCTGTTAAGTATTTGATGATCTGTAAAAAATATTGCAGATACTCTGATAAAGCAGGCACAGTAATCCCTTATAAGGCATGAATACGTGGGATAATTTTGACATGTTATTTTATCCTTAATTTATCTGTTTGCAAGTGAGATATTTGGGTATCAAGAATTAAACCTTCTCTGTAATTATGTAAAAGGTTCTACCCACCTTCTGTTCTACCCCTAGTTCATCTGACTGGCCTGTTTGGGGGCTCATGCTATTTCTCTCACACACAAATAGAAGCAAAGCTTTGCACATAAATAGCTTCATCAACCAGAGAGTTAAACGACAAACAAACATCATGCTTATTAGCCAAACAAGAAAAATTCTTTCGGATGTTCTGGCTGGCAGTCTACAAACTGGAAAAAAAATTACAACTATAAAGATACCCAATATCAGTCATCGTATTTACTACTATGCAACAATGCAGATGATCTAGAAAACTGGGCATAAAGAGTCTTGGCTTTTCTTATTCTTTTTGTTGTTGTTGTTTCCCCCTATTCTTTATCATTAGTTAAAAGCCAAAAGCTACCCCATCCATCCAGTACACTGTGAATTCCTGTTTACTCAAAACAACTCCCGGCTGAGAGCTGAACTGAGGTTAAAAAATGCAAAAAAGGCAAAACAAACAAAAATCTGAAAGCGCAGTTTCAAATGTGTTAAGTTCATATGGAGTTGCCCAAATGAAATAAACCTCATTTCAGTTTCAGTAGAGAATGAAATATCTGATATAATCTGTAGAAGATGAGCACAGAGAAGGTTTTATTTAGGAAATAATTTCCATACTATACTTTCTCGCCACTCACACTTCTCCTGCTTTGCTTGAACCTTTGAAGTTTCTCATTCAGTCAGTCTCGATACCAGTCACACCGGTATCTCAAAGGGTCAATGATATTTTTAACAAAGCCAGGAACGCTCAGGGTCAGGAGCACTGTTCAAAAGATGTGTAATTTCTACCAGGAGACAGATCTATCATCATTTTTGTCTAACAGATATTAAAAATAAAAACGAATTTGAAAGAGAATTTGCAAGCAGAAAAAACACGAACAGAATAAAGAGAGTGAACCAAAAACACTTCAAATGAGATGTTAGAAGACTATTATTTATTTAATTTTATTTAAGAGAGGCAGGAACTCTAGAAGTTAAAATTTTTCAATATAGACCAATTCCTTGTGGGAGAATAGTGGAAAATATCAAGGGCTCAGGAGACCAATCTTATCTCTTACTATGATTAAGTACATGATCTTGGGGTAGTCATTACACCATTCTTATCTCAATTGCCAAAGTGCGAATTCAGAGTACCAACATGTCAAGGGAGAGGCTGAAATTTCCTAAAACTGAGAATGCTACTCCCTGTACTTCCATGATTTCCCTTTATGACAACGAAACATTTAATGTCTCTGGACATCTTGTTTTTTTTTTTTTAACATTCCACAAATAGTGACTACTATGTGCTGGGCCCCAATCTAGACATGAGAGAGACAAAGGTGTGTTAGATAAGGTCTAAGGTCAAAGGAGAGCCATCCTAAAGGAGGCAGACAAATCATAAAGAAGCAAACAAAGTAGGCTGTTCTGAAGACAAGCAGGTGATCTGGGAACAGGTAAGGTGGTAATTCTATAAAATAATTACGAAAAACCTCTCTGACAAGGTGACATTTAGGCTGAGATCTGAAGAAGAAAGAGTGAGCTATGTAAAAAGGCATGTGAAAAACTGAAGGAAGAACACTGAAGACTGGCAGAATGGCATGTGCAAAGGCCCTGAGGTGGGCAGGAGCTTGGCATACTAGAGCATAGTGAGATGGCCAAAGAAGCTGGCCTTTATAACCACATCAGGGGTTTGGGTTTTATTCTACGTGAGGAGAAGCCACTGGAGTTCCACTAAAATGGACTATTTTTCTTTTTT